CTTTTATTAACTTTTTCCTATGTGCCTACCCTTGGGTCCTCCAAAATTTTGTGTGAGTGAGAACTCCCACCAGGCCATCCCATTCCCATCTAAGACTGCCCAATAACAATTCTATGATGCCAGATGAAGAATTCCAGCACAGAACACTTAACTTAAGAATCAGCTTTGCATCTGTCTGCAAGCTATCCTGAAATAACCCCAGAATCAGTATCATTTCTTCATTGGTCTTCCCCAACTGGAACCTAAAACTGTCAAATGCAATTCACCTTCCAAAGTAGGCATCAGAACTGCTTATTAAGGACTTCTTTACTGGGAGTGTGAAAAATAATCTCTGATTTGCACCAGTCTTGCGTAAGAAAGAACAAGAAGTAGAAATGTGCCCATACACGTGTCAGCTGTGCTGACCACATCCCTTCCTGTGTTCTGCACTGGTATAACTTCTCAATGAAATAAATGACCATGTCTGTAAACAGTAAGGCAGGGAAGGTCAAGAGAAATGAATGGCCTAAACAAAGCTAAGCTCACACAGAAATAAGGACAAAATAATATCTTTCCATTCCCATGACGCTATCCAAGGCTCTTCCCTTATAATTGAACATATTCCCCAGCGTCATTTTATGCATTTTAGAATGATGGATCATTGTGCATAAATGTGGGCTGTGGCTTATACGTGGAATAGCAAGAAAACCAGCAAAGATAAAACTGTAAATCCAGTTGAGATATAATGATGTCTTGAGTTAAATAAAATGAAGGCACAGATGATGACCTTGTTTGAAAATATCAATCAAGTACAAATCTTAACATGGTAGAACTGATGTATCAACACACATTAAGGACATAAAACCCAAAAGGCTTTGGGTATAGATTGACAGAGATGGTGGAGAGAAGAAAAATAATGCTGAGTGTACGAGTTGCCTATTGTGCTAATCATCGATTACCCAAACTGACTGCCTTACTGTAATAAGAATGTATCATCTTAAATTTCTGAAAGTTCCAAATGGATGCAGCTGAACTAAAATCAGGGGGGCAGGGATGCATACCTTTGGAAGGTCAGGGGAAACATTTGTTTCCTTGCCTTTTCCACTTCCAACAAGCTACGCTCCATTCCTTACTTCCTGGCTCCTGCTCCCCGTCCTCAAATCAAGCAAAGTCAGACCAGGGACACTCATGTTCCCACCTCTCTGCTTCCCTGTCACTGTTAAAAATTCTTCTGATTGCACTGGCAAATCCAGATAATGTCTATCTGCTGATTAGCATTCTATCTGTAACCTAATTCCTCTTCACCATGTAACATAACACATTGATGGATTATAGGGATTAAGACATAGACATCTGCAAGAGATCATTATTCTGCCTGCCACCGTGACTTCTCAAATTTTTCCTTGAGTAACTGAGATTTTATTATAGCTTAAAAATACATCTCATGCTGAGTAAAATCCAGAGTCCTTCCAAAGCCTGATAATGTTCTCTAAGTAGTTAAGAACTGTGGTCTTAGAGATTGACAGAATTGGATTTGAATAACAGTTTTGTCATTTACCAGTTTTAAAAACTTATAAAAAAAAAACATACCTCTTAACTTCCATTTCCTTCTTTGCAAAATGTGGAGACCAATTAAATACAAGAAATTGGGTGGTGAACATAGTGCCTGGCTCATAAAATGTTAGCTACTAGTTAGCACTGAATAGAATATAGGGAAAGGAAAGTTAGAGCTTCATTTTGGACAGTTTAATTTGTTTGAAAAACATTGGTTATATACCAGTGTGTTCCCTCCCTTCTCAAATGTATATGTTGAAGTCTTAATTTCCAGTGAATGTGACAATATTTGGAAGTGGGGCTTTGGAATTAATTCAGTGTAGCTGAAGTCATGATGGGAGGACACTTATGATGAGATTAGTGTGTGCCTTTAAGGAGACCAGACACAGCTCTCTGCTCGGGACAGAGGCAGGAGGCAGAAGGTAGAAGGCAGACAGCCATCTGTAAATGAGGAGGAGAGCCCTCAATAGGGCTTAACCATGCTGGTGGCACCGTGACCTCAGACTTCCCAGCCTCCAGACCTGTGAGAAATAAATGTCTGTGGTCTCAATCACCTAGTGGATGGTATTTTATGATAGCAGTCTAGACATTCATCTGAGCAATTTAAAACTCACCTTTGGAAATTAACATCCAACTGTATTTATCTCCCTAATAGATTCTGTCCCATTCTCCTAGATGCCCAGATCATATTCCTCTTCTCTAAATGCTAACACCTCCTTGGCCTTGCTCACGCTCTATAAAAAACAGAGGCTTCCCACAGCACCTGTTCTTCAACTGTGCGCTCCCAGTACCTGCAGTCATGCCGTCTCCCTTCTTTCTTGGTGCTCTGGGTGCCCGTTCATGCTCCAGACTCAGCCCAAGCGTTCCCCCAAATATCCCTGATTGCCAAGACAACACTCACACTCCTGATCCTGTGACCATTTCTGATTTCATCTTATTTGACCCATCAGTGAGATTTGACACCAATGATGACTTTGATGCTGAAATTCTTTCCTCATTTAACTTTTGGTACATCACACTCATTTTGTTTTCTAATTTTAGCCAATGTTCCCATGTCACATTTGTTTTCCTTCATTTTCTGCCCTCTAAGTATTGGAAGATTCCATGGTTTTGGAACATTCTACCATTTTGCTTTTCTTTCTATTTTCAGTCAGAGGGTGATTTTATAGTCACATGATTTTAAATAGCTCTATGCTGATGACTCCCCATTTGCAGGTATAGTGTGAACTGAATTGCTCACTCTTACATTCAAATGTCTAATGAACCTCACCACTTGGTGATTTAATGTATCTTAAAATTAATGTATAAAACAGATTCTGAGAATCTCAAACCAGTCACTTCCATAGTCTTCCCCTCTCTTGAATGATAACTCGACTTGTTCTGGACACAAAACCATGCAATCATCCTCGATTTCATTCTTTCTCCTAAAATATACAGTTAATCCATCAGTAATCCTGTGAATTGACTTCAAAACAGATATAAGACCTGACAATCTCTCCACAATCTCCACTCCTCCCAGCCTGACCATTGTTTCATCTCTAATATTGCCTCAATGATTGTGATGGTCACAATGGAATGCCTGGAGTCACAACACCCTTTTACTTTTAATCTGTATTGTTGCCATTTTATCCATCACATCCTTAAGTCCAGGAAAATGAACAAAAATATTGGATTACTGACAACAGCCTCCCAACTCGTGTGTCCGCTTCATCCTTGCTGCCTATGGCCTGTTCTTACCATGAAAACTATGTGATCATATTAAGTCCCACCAAGGCATAAGTTAAATCCTGTTAGTTCTTTTCTTGAAAACACCCTCAAAGCCTTTCCATCTCTGGAACATTGCAAATCAGTGGCATGTTGGCATGTGTACAGCAAAGAGAGCTACAGGAAAGTTGTGGTATGTGTGTGCGCGCGCACATATGTGTGTATATGTGTAAAATTTACTGATTTAAAGGATAACTAGAACTCTATTTACAAATATTTACAAAATATATTGTTTCATTGTTTTTTTTCTATGATTCCATAGTGAATATACTCCTTTCTTTGATTTTTGCCAAACTGTTGTATTTATACACGAACTATACTTGAAATTGATAAATTTGTTTAGTACCAACATGAATGTTGCTTGGTATTTTCATTTACACTATTGAGTAAAATGAAACAAAAATATATGTGTAGATCTCATCGGTTCAATGACGTAAATGCCATCTTTACTGAATCAGGTATGCTTTTCAAATACTAGGAGGATATTGCCCCAATATTTTGTGCTGGTCACAATGGAATTCCTGGGATCACAACACCCTTTTACTTTTAATCTCTATCATTGCCATTTTATCTATCACATCCTTAAGTCCAGGAAAATGCACAAAAATGAATCAAGCCCTTACACACGCAGCATTTTCAATTTCCCTGTGGTTACTATCTCCACCATGGCTAACTTTAAGCTACCCACTGATGTCACTGATTGCAGAAACAGTAATAGATGCCCTTTATTCGCCATCGCATGGCATTCCCACACAGACACAGCTGACTTGTAAAGACTGGGGTCATGGTCACAGGTTCCAGAACACATGTTCAAGGGAATTCTCGGGGAGAAATTCCTCCCTGAAACTACCCAGGACCACAGCTGAAGGTGGAAGAGTCAAGCTAAGATGTTCCATGACTGATGTTCCACAGCGGTCTGACTCTGAGGACAATAACCTTCACTTGAACTCAATTTTATGTGGCTGGAATCTAATTCCTTTTTGTTTTCACCAAGATTTTGGTAAAATCACATTAAATTTTGCAGCCGAGCCACAGCTAATACAGAAAGGAAGAAAGGAAGACCTTTTCGCAGACTAAGCAGAAAATTGCAAAGGGAAAAATGGCCGCTCAGAATGGAAGCCAGCTCAAAGACAGGGAAGCAGCCCTGTGCAATGAGACTGCTGGTAGACACAAGATGAGAACAAACTAAAAGTGCGCAACAGGCACAAATTCCTTTGGGATTTCCAGACATATCTGAGAGGAACTCAGAAGGCAGAACTCACTTTCACGGCAAGAAACAGGAAGTAAAAACAAAAACAAAAAAACCGGGGCCAAGAGGCAGCTGGGAAACGCCCCCTAGGCAAGGTCAAAAAGGCATGCCTAGGCAGGCCTGTGTGCGTGCAGACATGCCCAGACATGGCTGGGTGTGCGCACACACACGTGTGAAGACATGTCCAGACATGCCTGGGTGTGCGTACACAGGGACACACATGCAGACATGTGCAGACACGCCCAAACATGGCTGGGTGTGCGCACGCATGCACGCGCATGCGCACACACGTGAAGACGGACAAGCTCAGACGTGTGCAAACTGACATGCGCAGACACACCCAGACACGCCCAGACACGTCTGGGTGCGCACGCAGTACCAGGAGGCAGCCTGGTGCTCACGCCGCTGCCGCTGCCGCTGCCTGGGTACCGGCCCACAGCCTGCGTCAGCGGCCATGCAGTCCCAGGATCCACACCACCCCCAGGGGGACCCCAGGGCCCAGCCAGGCCAGCGCAGGAAGTTGCCGAAGGTGTGCTCTGAGGGAGAAAGCAGGCCGGAGGGTAGCGTGGGCTTCTGCCCCTTCTTGGATCTGGCGCCAGGAGCCCTGCAAGTGTGGGTGAAGGACGGCAGCAAGATCCGGAACCTTCTCGCCTTTGCCGCCATTCGCATGGAGAAGCCCTCCATGCGCACCATTGTCTTCAATGGCATCGGCCATGCGACCTCCAAGACCATCTCGTGCGTTGAGATCCTCAAGCGCCGCGTGGGCGGGCTGCACCAGGTCACCCGGCTGTACCTCTACAGCGCACATGAGTTGGCGCAGCTACCCCGTCCCTGGCCCTTGTCCACTTCCAGGCCCACTAGTCACAGGACTGTCCCTGGCCTCTCCATCTTGCTGTCCAAAGATGCACTGAACCCGCGCCAACTGGGCTACCAGCTCCCCAGTCCCCAGCATGGCCCCTCCATCCAGCCAATGACATCTGCATCCAGCTCGACTTCAGGGGAACCTTCAGCAGTGGCAGGCTCGGCAAAGGAGTCGTCGCCCTGCCCAGGTGTCCCACCGGAGGACCCCAGCAACTGAGCCAGATTGGAATTGATGGGCCTGATCGAACTTCCTGCCCCTGACCATGCCCACCTTGGGGCTCTGGAGCCCACAACCTGGACACAGCACCTCAGACTGGCAGCTGGACCTTGAGGGACAAGAGAGAGAGACCCCAGGGGAAATTCGGGGGAGAGGTTTCTCCTCTGCCAGTTTCCTGCACACAGAACTCCACCTTCAGCTATTCTGAGCCATACTAGAACTTTCTTCATGGAGGGACTGTTGGACCGTGGGACTCTTGAACCTATGTCAGGACCCTAAGGTTTAAAGTCACCCAGCATCCATGAGGGCAGTGGGCTAGCTTGTTTCCCTTCGCTGTTTCAGTTCAGTTCTATATATATATATATATATATATATATATGTATTTTTTTCATCATTTTTCTTTTTGTACAATGTGTGCTTTCTCTCAAGTACAGTCCCATGCAATTCCCCTAACCAGTTCACCCTTGCGCCATCACCATATTCCCTTGTGCTCTTCCCGAGGTGGTGGGTAGCAAGCCGTCTCCAGGGACCTCAGCAAAGCAATCAATCCAATTCCTTTGGCTAAGATTAACTCCTATGGTGTTTCCTCAAGATTTCAGATGACATGACTTCTAGCTCTAAGGGGGTCAATCAGAGCCTTCAAACAGTCCTCCTGATTTTTCTCTTTGAGATTAACTGCAGTGTGGGTTTAGGTGTGGTGAGGTCACTCATTGTGGTTTAGGGGAAGTAACAATTCATTTAATCATAGTTTTCCTTGCTTCCATAGGGACCTTGAGTCATGCTTGCCTATGATTTATATGAGGCATGAAAGCCAGTACTGTGCATGCATTGTAACTGACATGTAACTTGATGTCTCATTAGTTTTTTGACTCCAAAGTCCTCAACTCTAGAGAAAGGTAAATATCCTTCTTGTCCTCCATTCTAAGATAAGTAATCTGATCTTTATCAAGACCGAGTCAGCTGTCAAGGTCATACAACTAGCAGGTGACAGAGGGCAGGAGTCAAGTGCAGATACCATGACACTAGAGTCCAATAGGTAGATACTGACATGGAGGGAAACATAGATATTCCTCAACTTATGAATCCACTTATTGTTTTCACCTTTACCATGGTGCAAAAGTGATAATCAACAAAAACCATACTTCCAGGGCTCTCCCTGGTGGTGCACAGGGTTAAAGCACAGCACTATAAAGCTCTCTGAAGCCACTGCAGCACGAGTTCCATATCTGGCCAGGGAGCAGCCGCACAGGATGCAGCAGACCTCTCCTGACCCACCCACTGATCCCCTCAGCAGTGTATTTTAGTTAATCTGCCTGTTCTGCTCCCCACTCTGTCTCTGGTGAATCTTCTCACTCCCACACCTCTGACCTGTACCCCAGTTCTGTAAGCATAAATAAATCTTTAAAAAAAAAAAAGAAATCATACTTCCAAATGGGAATCGTGACCTTTTCACAGGCTAACAATGCACCCTATTGTGCTCCATCAGAAAACTGGGGGCTGCAGCAAAACTGCACTTTCCAATTAGAAACAAAGTTAAGCAACTGATAATCTGCTGTGTCTGGTGGCCAGTAGTTTTCGATACTGTGTTTTGTGCTTTGCATCCTCTCATGTCTATCAAGTATCCATCTTTACCTAGGCTACCCAATACTTTAAAATAGACTGTTAGGTGATTTGGCCTTACTGTGGACTCATGTGAGTGTTTGGAGCTGATTACAAATGGGCTAGTTATGGTCTGATATGCACTATGTTAGGTGTATTAAATGCATTTTCAACTTATAATAGTTTCAACATGATCTTTTTGTCAGGAAATAACTCCATTTTAAGTTTAGAAAGATATGTAAATATGGGCCTCCCTAGTGACCAAGGGGTTGAGTCTCTGCACTATCTGGTTATTGACAGCCACTGCAGCACAAGTTTCATCGCTGGACAGAGAGTGACCTACATGGCACAGCAAACCTCTTTTGTCTAACCCGCTGCTCCCCTCAGCAGTATGTTTCAGTAGATCTACCTGTTCCGCACCCCACTCTGTCTCTGATGAATACTTTCACCTCCCGTACTTCTGGCCTGCACCCCAGTTCTTGTATGCATATATTTTTTTAATTAAGAAAAAAAAGATATGTAAAAATAACCTAAATGCTAAAAAATGTGAGGCTTACAAGGACTTGGTGAGTTATTTGCAAAGTACTTCAGTAGTATTGGATACAGGATGAGTGTGATATGTATTAATGTTACCAATTTTGTGCCTTGTATCAGATCCCAGATCCAATTAAGCAGCACATCCTGTAGTGTCTCCCTCAAAATACTTTCTGAACTGGCCCACTTTTTGCTACCTGTCCCATTATAACTCTGGCTCAAATCTTTCTCTCTCACCTGGATTATTAGATTCCTAATTGATGTATCTGCCACCACCACTAGTATCTGTGGTTTATTCTGCACACAGCTTCCTGAGTAAAAGTTTACAAATTCACCCCATAACTGTTTCACTCAAAACTAGCAGTGGTTTTGCAGCTCATTTAAAGCAAAAAAAAAAAAAAAAAAAAAACTATATGATCTGAACCTGCTACTTCGATCGATGACCTGAGGCTCAACTCCCATAGCAGGTGTTTTGAATAGCCCAGCCTTGGGCTGTAAGGGGTAGCCTCGCCTGAGGAGACCTGCGTGCTCTGCCCCGGCTTTCCCTACTCGCTCCACCTCCAGCTGTTCTAAATTGGGAGCCTCAGGCCCAGCCAGCAGTCAGTCTCCGCACTTGGCTTCTCTAGTTCTCAGAAAGTGGCCCCTTCTTCTTGTCACCGACCTGTACACCCCCCTATCCAGTGCAGTGCCACGTCTGCAAAGTCCTCAGTGCGGGGCTGTGCCCTGAGTCAGCACACGCACAGGCTTCGGGGCTGTGCCCTGAGTCAGCACACACACAGGCTTCCATGATCGCAGCCAACTCGCCCTTTGGCGCGTGAGTGGTGCTGGCCCAGTACCACTGTAAACACAGTCAAGTTTTCCCTACCTCTTTCTGCCGGACCTTTGCCTTCTCTTTCTGCCGGACCGTGGCCTCCGCTGTGCACCACACTTGTCCATTTGTTTTTCAGGAATTACTGGCTTTCAGGGGTTACCGCTGTCTCTTAGTTGTGAGTATAGGGAAGGAGCGAGCCCAGCGTCTTCACTCTGCCGCCATCTTCCCAGATTGCCTTTCTTCCTCTTCAGTCAATATGAACTTGGGATTCTTTGAATAAAACAAGCATGTTCCTGCCTCAAGAACCAATTGATGTTCATTTCTGAAAACCTAAGCAAATTCACTGTACATATTTTTAGAACTAATTAGTATGGTAAAAAGAGCACATTTATCATAGTAAACAACAAACTGCTTCTTAAGAATAATGTGCGTTAAAAATCTTATTTCCCACAAGTGTAATGTATAACTTTTAATTTGTTCCCATCAAATTACCATTTAAATAAATTGGTAAAGATTCAAAGATATACGTGGAATAATATGTCATAATAGATGTTAATTATACATTTAAATAATTTTTGATAAAGAGTAATAAGGAATCCCATTCCTAACATTTTTTATGACATTCGCACCAAATTTTTTCACTGGTATAGAGCAACAGCTGAAAGAAATACATTGCAGAGTCTGGATTTAGTCTCCAGGATATGTAATCTACTATAACATTTAAAATCAACAGGAAAATGTCAATTGTTCAATTAAGTGTGTTGTGGATCTTGTTTAAACATTTTCAAAAAAAAAGAAAATTCCTAACTCATTCCAATAAATGCAAGATATAGAAAATGGTTGAATCTAAAATATTAAACCAAAGATGAAGTATGAATAAATATTGGTGACTTAACTATGTTAAGTAGAAAGAATATTTCTACTTAAGAATAATGTGCGTTAAAAATCTTATTTCCCGGCCCTCCCTGGTGGCGCAGCGGGTTAAAGCACTGCACTAAGAAGTTAAAGCCACTTCCGCATGAGTTCGATTCCCGCCTGCCCCGGAGGCGACCACATGGTGTGGCAGACCTCTCCTGACCCGCCCGCTGCTCCCCTCAGCAGTGTATTTCATAGATCTGCCTGTTCTGCTCCCCGCTCTGTCTCTGGTGAATTCTCTCACCCTCCACATCTCTGGCCTGTACCCCAGTTCTGTACAAATAAATAAATAAATCTTTAAAAAAAAATCTTATTTCCCACAAGTGTAATGTATAACTTTTAATTTGATCCCATCAAATTACCATTTAAATAAATTGGTAAAGATTCAAAGATATACCTGGAATAATATGTCATAATAGCTGTTAATTATATTTCTAATATAAAAATTAGAAAGCATTAGAAAGGTTAATAGAGCCAAATGTAAAATATCACCTCCATAAGATAAAAGAGAAAAGGAGCCAACATATAAACAACAAACTAGATGTGACTCACAACACAAGCAATAGGCAAAGGTTGAGGTTCGTATGAAATATTTTTTCTCCTAAAGTGTGATTCGCTTTCATAGACAAGTTGCAAAAATAGAAAAAGAAAAATATAGGTGGAAAATGGTTTAAAATGGTAAGATAATTAAAGAAAATCCTTCTGTTATCAAGTAAATGTTGAGCACTTATTGTGCACACTTGCTATTTCCCTCTCTGAGATGCCCTCCCTTCCATCTTTACTTGACTTCACCTTTGCAAGATGAAGTAGGATCCAGTTCTCCTGATTCTGGAGATGCAATCAATATTAGACAAGAAATCCACATTTCACATTCTTTGCAGCATTTTTCATAACAGCCAAGACATGGAAGCCAAGATATGGTGTATGTATAATAAGGAATATAGATACCTGCAGTCATAGAAAACAAGAAAATCTTGCCATTTGTAACACTGATGAACATGGATAGCATCATGCAAAGTGAAATAAGTCAGAAAGAAATTAAAATGCTATGCAGTCTCACATGTGGAATTATGTGCAATTATAATAAAGCTGAACTCATAGTAACAGAGTAGACTGGTGGTTGCTAAGGGAGCGGGAAGAT